TGTTGGGGGGTTCCCTGCATTATAACTCTTGAGGTGGAGAGACTGCCCCCCACCATAGAAATCAGATACTCCTTCCCAGCCTCTTTTGATGCAGGGTCTACCAAACAGATGGACTCGCACTAGACTTCAAATAATAAGACCCATCCAGAATCAAGTTTGGGGATAACAGCAGCAGCTCCCTCCAGCGTCCACAGCCACAGGGGATGAGGCCCCCGCACTGGTGATGGTGGCACTGCAGCTTCTCACCTGCTTCTCAGGGTGTTTCACAGTGTTCCTGGAAGTGCTGTCCTGGATACAGATTGCATCAAGACCTGATTTCCTTCTCTCCTAGAGAGTCTCTGAGATATCTAATAGATCACTTCCCTGAGTTAACTAGTTTGGGTTCATTTAAGTTGTTAGAAGCTAGGAATGCTGACGGATTCAGGCATGCATTGGTTCATAGAACAGATCAGTCCAAGGGTGGATCTGCTTCAGGCATGGCTGGTTCTAGGAGCTCTAACACTTATTACCAGAACTCTTTCTCTCTTCCTCTCAGGTCGGCTTCTCTCGGAGTAGGCTTCATTCTCAGGCAAGACCTTCATACGTAGTGGAGAAGATGACCACCCGAGACCTAGGTTTACACTGTCCTTAAAGTTAGCACATCAGAGAGAAGGGAACGCATCTTCCCAATTTCTCCAGCAGAAGTCCTAGGGGTGACTCTGATTGGTCTGATTTGGGTCACATGCTTCTGTCTGAAGCATCTAGATATGGCAGAGGTCCCCAGATTAGCCTGTTAGAGCCTTAGTGTCTCAGTAACTTTTTCTCAGCGTCCCTAGGTCAAAGAAATACCTAATAGTTCAATCGACTAAGCAGTTAGGTCTATACACTGTGTGAACCACTGCAAAATGGTCATGGGATGGGCCAGCCTGAGCCGGGCGCCCACCTGCAGCAAAGGAGGTGGGGCCAAATGGTTGACAGTGTCATTGAGTGGTGAAGCCACAGTTCCAGAAAGAAAATTCTGCTGGGCAGATGTCCAAATGATGTGGTGGACATCCTGATGGAATGGTCTTGGCAGGCCCAAGTCTGACGGGTATGTGAGGATGTGACTGTGTGGGAGTGCGGGATGAGTGGACCAGGCGGTGGGCTCTGTGGGGTTCATGTTGTTTATTTATATGGTAATTGGACCCCCATACCTGACTCCAATAACTTCCCCTGCAAAACCAAGCCACACCACCCAAAATGGAGGCCCAACAGTAGCCGATTCATGATCCAGCAGTGCTCCGGCCTGAGGGAGAGTGCCCACGACATGAGAATACTTTACTTTGGACAAAGGATGTGAAGCTATGGAAATGGATGATTGAGTTACATCTATCTTTCCTTTCTTTGTCCACAAAACCCAATGAGCAGACCACTTCCTTCTTTAGTTCCTGGGCTATGAGGGTGATTCCAGCAGGCCCAGAATTTAACTGAGCTGTTTTGCAGAAGCGCCTGGCGCTGACTTTGGTCAAGGCCTAAAACATACCGATGAATAGTGTCGCTTTGTGAACATGGGTCCAAGGAGGAGTTTGGGGGTGGTTTGTCCCAACTTGTCAGCATTGTTTATTGCTAACAATGAGACTGATCATTTGTTCTCAGTGAGACCCCCAGGGTTCTGCTGATGAGGCTGGTTATGTAGGAGGAATTTGCCTGTGTGACCAGTGAGACATAAGACTCTATCTCAGTCTTCTCTGAAATGATGGATTCTTCACACCATGTGCAGAGACCACCAGACTTCAGGCCACCTCCCTGAGAAACCAAGGGAGATGGGTAAGCTATGTCCACTCCCTAGCATCCTTGATGTTGCCAAGTACAAATTCAAACAACACCAATGTTTCATCTCTCAGGTTGGCACAAATGCAGAGGACAGAGTGCCTCATTTTTTGATGATGGTGTGGTGCAAAGGGCCTTTCCACACACGGCTGGTGCAAGTGTGGATTTGGCAAGATCTATACAAATTTTTAATGTGAATGCTCTATAAGCAGAATGGCACCCGGATTAGCTTGAGAAGTTAAAGACTAACATACCTATGTTCTCTCCAGCCCAATTAGAGGGAATTGAGCCATTTTAACATCACGAATTTCACTAAACAGAGTTTGACTGCTAAAGATTTACAAGACCCCAAAGACAATGTTTACAAATCTGCAGTTTATTCTATAGCAGCAGCATTAAAGTGAGGCTGTGCGTCTACACCACGGGAGCATTCTTGTGCATTCTCCCTCTCTCTGCATCATTGCACCTACTGGAGGTTTCAGTGCAGCAAGCCTGGCTGTGCCCACCATGCCTCTTCAGAGTCTTGGTCCATTTTCTTTCTGATTGCTTAGATTTTTCTTGTTGATTCGTAGAAGCTGTTTACATATTAGGCATATTCCCCCATGGTCTGTTACACGTGCTGCAAATATATTCTTCAGTCAGTCGTTTGTCATTTGACTTTGCTTATACTGATTTTCTCTTTTCAGAGTTTTAAAATTTTACATACTCAGATATATTCCTTTCAGGTAACTGGATTTCATGCCATGCTAAGAAAGGCCTTTATCAATCCAACATTATAAAAAATATTCTTCTATATTTTCTTTTGATATTTTACACTTTTATATGTTATGTTAAAGTGTGATTTTGCTGTTGGTTTCTGATAACCTTTATTTGATAGTTATTTCTTGTATTTCTAGCTTACTATGGATTTTTATTTGGATTTTAATAAACAACTTTAAATATTTGTTCTGTAAAGACTCATGGCAAGGAGGCCCATCGGGAAGGGGAGGAGGGCAGGGGAACTCCAGGAGGAGAGAGAGGAGGGCGTGGGGAGGGGGCTGGCATGTCTGGGTGACAGCAACAGGCGGCGTCTCTGGGTCAGAGAACTCCAAAGAGCAGCGGCATGCGGCCTTATAACAGCAAAGCCCTGTGTGGTCAGTAGAGAACAGCTGTCCCGCGAGGTTTCACAGGGTATGTAAAGTAGGCAGGCCCTATGTGGCTAAAAATCTGCTTATCTGGGCTGTTTTAAAATCATTGGATGTGTGAAAATTTGAGTTTGGAGCCAGCGGGCTTTTGAGCTAACAGGTCTCAGCCTTGGGGAAGAAATAAACAAGCCAGGGGCCAAATTCAAGGGTGACCTTTGGTCCATTTACATGACAGGAGCTTAGAGACAAGCCCTGGTCTGAAGAGTTTAATCAACAAGGGGAGGAAAGGTTGCTCCTTACTCTGCCACGCACTGTGTGGTAGACAGAGGTGCTCTGCTTGAGGATGAAGAGAGGCAGGGTGAACTAGCATGGCCTTGAGTGGTGATAAAGAGCTGATGGAAACGATGAAGGAGGATGCGCTATGTGGGGTTACACATACTGTGACCAGTGGTGGCTGAATGCCCCAGACAGTGCACATTCCATGTTGAAATTCCCTTCTGTGAAAGCCCAGAGAAAGAGGCAGGGCTTGGGAGAAAGGCCTAAGACGGCTGTAATAAAACAACCGTAACCAAAATAATGTGGGCGATAGCTAACAATTATCTCATGCTTTCCATGTGTTAACTCAGTTCTCCCTCTCAACAAATTGCTGAGGTGTCCTCCCATTTTGAAGATGAACCTGCAGGTTCAGAAAGGTTGATTCACTTTCCCAAGGTCACACAGCAAGTAAATGGTAAAGCCTGAATTTGAACCCAGGCAATCTACCTTAGAGCCAGTTCTCCTAACTCTACACAATCCACAAAATCAGGGCTGGGGGCCAAGAGATTCTGGGAAAAAAGAAAACGTAGACAGGGGATTAGCCAAGTGCTCTTGCTGGTGTCATCGAACAGGTTCCAAAAGAAGGTATCCTGACAAGTGGGATGCATTCTGCACTGTTGCTGGTGTATGGGGTCTGGAGAGACTGATGATGGGGAGGGAGGAACAAGGGAGGGACACTCGTAGGTGCTTAAGAAGGGAGGTTAATCCATCTCCACGCCTCTCTGTCCTCCTCCCCTAGCTTCGCCTTTTCCCCCTCACTTCGCCCCATCTGCAAAAATAAGTCACCTTTCCTTGGAGAAGAGCTCGCTCTGCTAAGCGAGAGAGCAAGAAGGGAAGCTTGGGCCGGGGCGGCCAGATGACCTCCGGGTTCACTCAGGCGGTCCCAGGACCAAGTCTCCAGGACCACTGGGCCCACGACTACCCTGCTGCTGCAGCGCCCAGTCCGGGGTGGGCGCCGGGGAAGACGCCCGCCAAGCAGAGGCCGGGCCTCAGGGTTGCGCATCTCCGGGGGCTCCTCCCGGGCTCTCCCCTTCCCTCTCCCAGACCCTTCCGGTCGTCCTGGCTCTGCCTGGGGACCGACCACGCGGACGCCTCTCTCTGCTGTCCGAGCCCAGGGCTCCGCGGGGCGTCCAGGAGGAGGCGGCCTGAGGGGCGGCAGCCCCGGGCGGGCCGGACGGGCTGGGTCGGCCTAGTGGAGGAGGGCGGGTCTTCACCACCGGGGCCAGGGCGCGTGTGTCGCCCGCAGCCGGGACAGGCGTCCATCGTGTCTTTCATTTGCATTTGCCTGATGGCTAATGAGGTCGAGCGCCTTTTCGTCTATCTCCTGGCCGTGAATGTCCTCTTTTGTGAGCTTCCTGTTCAAGTTTCTCATCCCCTTTTCGATTGGACTATTTGTCTTTTTCTCATTAATTTGTCAGGGTTCTGTATATTTTCTGGATGTGGGCCTTTTGTTAATTAAGGGACCGTGCAGCGATGAAAACAGAAGCAGAGGCCGCAACTCGCCAGGGGTCAAGTCAAGCAGCCAGGAAGCCACAGTCAAAGCCTTGACTTGAACTTGGCGACCCGGAGAAGGCGCCAGCCCGTCTAGGACCAGCAGCATCCGCGCTTCTTGGGAGTTCGGTTAGAAATGCAGAATTTCAGGCCTTGTCCGAGGTCTGCTGAAACCCGGTGGCAGGGCGGCAGGTCCCCGGGGGCTCACGTACACAGAAGTCTGGAAGCGCCTATCTGTGAGGACGCCTCGGGGTCACACTGTACTTCATGAATGTCGCTGCGATGGAGAAGGAGGAAGGGGTGGAGCTGTGCGAGGACACGGGTCTGTTCCAAGGTAAATACACTCTTTCCTCTATAAAAGGTTTTTTCCAGATGCGAAGGCCAAAATATTTCTCCACGCCCCCCCCGACCTGGTGACAGTGGCTATTTATTTACCGAGCTCTTTGTCTGCTGCCCGGGTGGCACAGCAGACAGCCGGCAGCTGTGGCCTGGACCCTGGGAAACTCGGCTCAAAGCCACCTCATCTCATCTGCCTGAAATCCCAGTTAGAGACACATTCCTTTAAGTCGTGGGGACCCAGCGTAGGAGCAGCAAGTGACCAATTACAGAGCCGGTGACCCTGCGTCCCCACGCTGCACACAGGGGCACCCGAGTGAGTACTGCACCGCCCGACCGGGCTTCCCTGGGCTGTAAAATGCGGGAAACACAAATGCACTTCCCTGGTGAGGCTGTGTGGGGCAATATGGGAGAAAACGGATGGAAAGTCCTTTATAAGTAATATGCCAGTCAAATATTAGTCTGTCCGGTGATTATCACGGGTGGTGGAATCAAAAGGGATGTGTCCTCTTTTGTTTATCTGAACTATCTGCGTTTCTTCTAATGAACGTGTAAAAAGTGTGTAGGATTTGAATAAAATGCTAAAAAGATATGACCTTTATCAGTTTCCACATAAATTCTAAAAAGTAAGTCTAAGATACTATGAATCCAAATGTCTTTTCTTCTATGCTGCTAAGAACCAAGAGCACGCCAAAATAATATCCTAGGACTTAAAAATTACACAATTATCTTACACACTCACAGATCCTCCGAGGGTGACCATCCTCACAGCTCTGGAGGTGCTGCCCCATTGTTCCCTTGGAGGGTGGTTCTCAGAAGTCTAAAGCCACGTGCTGGGTGCCCCAGGATCCCTTTGTTCCATGTGGAATCTGGTAACTTTGCCAGAGTATGACCACTGTGTGACCATTTTTCCTGGGACGTGGTGTGCTTCTTTTTCTTTCTTTCTTTCTTTTTTTTTTTTTTTTGCTGAGGAAGATTGGCCCTGAGCTGACATCTGTGCCCATCTTCCTCTATTTTCTACGCGGGATGCCACCACAGCATGGCTTGATGAGCGGTGCCTAGGTCCGCGCCCAGGATTCAAACCCGCAAACCCCAGGCTGCCAAAGCAGAGTGTGAAAACTTAACCACTATACCACCAGGCTGGGCCCCATGATGTGCGTCTTGATTACTAGAAAGATGTCTTGAATTTTATCGTTAAATATTTGTTCTGTTCACATATTTCAGTTTTCTGCTTAGGGCATTCCAATTAGCATATGTTGGAGTTTGGTCTTTATTCCATTTATTTTTCCTGAACCTTTTTAGCACTTTGTTTCCATTTCATTTTGCTCACTTTCCTCATCTTTGTCTTTGGTGTCCCTTATTTTTTATTTCCGTTTTTTAAATAGTGTCCTCCTTCCCGTGTATGAATTCCAGTAAGCATGTATCTTTGCGACGGCTTTCCTTTTCTCTTCTCTTCTTTCCTGAGCTCCAGTTTCTACGTAATTTCCTCCTGTGGTCTTGCTGTGTCTTCCCCGAGCCCTCAGATCTCTGCTTTTTTGCCCTTGCTTTGTAAAGGAAATTGCTTCGCTAACTTTTAAAAAATTAATTGCAAAATAATTGTTTGCGATTTTCATCAGCTTTTTGGCAACACTCTTCTGGTGAGTGTTCTTTATGTGCCATTTGTTTTTGTTGTTTTTGCTGTCTTCCTTTTTGTCTTGTAATACATATTTTTTTATTATGGTGAAATATATATAACATAAAATTAACCATTTTTAGGTGTACAGTTCAGCGGCATTAAGTACATTAACAGTGTTGTGCAACTATCAGCACCATCCATCTCCAGAACTTTCTCATCTTCCCAAACTGAAACTCTGTACCCATTAAACGATAACTCCCCGTTTCCCCTCCACTCGGCTCCTGGTAACCAGTCTTCTACTTTCTGTCTCTATGAACTTGGCTACTCTAGGGACCTCATATAAATGAAATCATACAATATTTGTCTTTTGTGCCTGGCTTATTTCACTTAGCATAATGTCTTCATGGTTCATCCTTGTAGCATGTGTCAGAATTTCCTTCCTTCTTAAGGCTGAATAATATTTCATGGTATATATACCATATTTTGTTTATCCATTCATCCATCAATGGGCACTTGGGTTGTTTCTGCCTTTTAGCTCTTGTGAATAGTGCTGATATGACCATTGGTGTACAAATATCTGTTGGAGTCCCTGCTTTCAATTCTTTTGAGTATATACCCCAAAGTGGAATTGCTGGATCATATGGTGATTCTATTTTTAATTATTTGAGTAACTGACATGCTGTTGGCAGTGGCTGCACCATTTTACATTCCCTCCAGCAATGCATAACTGTTCCAATTTCTCCACAATCTCACCAATGCTTATTTACTGTGGTTTTTGTTTTTTTATAATAGTCATCTTCACGGGTGTGAGGTGGTATTTCATTGTGGTTTTGATTTGCGTTGCCCTTAGTGATCAGTGGCGCTGAGCATCTTTTCCTGGACTTATTGGCCATTTGTGTGCCTTTCGAGAAATGTCTCTTCAAGTCCTCTGCCCATTTTGCAGTTGGGTTGGTTGTTTTTTGTTGTTGTTGAGTTAATATTTTTTGTGTAGACCTTGCGTTGGTGGCTTTTTTTATGGACCAGCTGTTTCCGGGCGATTCCAATAGGGAAGAAGCCAGGACTGTGTTCTACATTGGAGAACTGTTTTTTCTGATCTACGGTCTTCTACGTGCGTTTTCAGTCTTTATTTCTCCCCAGGCAGTGGGATCGGGCGGTTTTCAGACTATTCACAGTGCAGATTCTTTTCTCCTCTCTGTCTCAAGGACAAACTGCTTCCTGCCAATGGCTCGTCTCACTCTGCGTCCTCCTTTAGTCGTGTCTTCACTGCTTCTCGGAACCCATCCAGATTTGGTGCCAACCTGTACACCTTATTCTCACTATTTTAAACAAGGGATTTTACTTTTGCATTTTGGGAATGCCGTTCACCTTGAAGAGGGGCATTTTTTTCTGAAACCTGCAGTCATTGCCTGCTTTTTCTGAAATCTGCAATTATCAACCTCCTCTCTCCTTTTCCTTGCAAAGCCCTGCTCATTCCCATTGCTTTTGACATCTTTTTAATCTATTTTACCTGTTTTCCCTAATTTCTAATGATGGTGTTTGTATCATTTTTCTTGTTGCTTTTGGATAATTGCCAAGGGCAGAGAAACTGATAACATGATCCATTCATCTTCACACTGGAAGTCCCTGCAAAAAGCTCTGAGCGTCACCATATTGTGATGGAGAGAGGACGGAGACTTGACATCAGAGGACACAGAGCTTTGCTTTCCTCTCTTTGCTTCTACCTCTTGGGCAACTTTCTCTGAGAGTCTCTCAAGTGTTTCGTTTCTTTTTTTTTTTTTTAAAAACTTATTTATTTATTTATTTTTCCCCCCAAAGCCCCAGTAGATAGTTGTAGGTCATAGCTGCACATCCTCCTAGTTGCTGTATGTGGGACGCGGCCTCAGCATGGCCAGAGAAGCGGTGCGTCGGTGCGCGCCCGGGATCCGAACCCAGGCCGCCAGCAGCGGAGCGCGCGCACTTAACCGCTAAGCCACGGGGCCGGCCCTCTGAAGTGTTTCTTTTATTCCTCAATTCCCCATATAATATTGGCATTTCCCAGGGTTCCATCCTCGGCTCTCTTCTCCCCTTCTAAGCTCACCATCTTCCGTAGATTTCATGTGTTTACGAATTCCCAGGTCTGAGTCACTAGGTCTCAGCTCTATATGAAGCCACTGCCTCTCTGGATGACTGTGGGGTCTGTTTTCTTCTTTACGAGGTGAAGCTGCATCTCTTCTGGCCCAGGAGCCATTGTCACCAGTGGAGAGGGAAGCACCAAGGAGAGCTCAGAGGCACCATGACTACAGCACCAACTAGAATCCACCCCGGTAACCCTCCCTTCCCTTGGTTAATTGTTTTGACCACAGCGTGCTGTCTTGACCTACAATGGGTGACACTGGAGATTGGGCCCTGAATGTGGGTAATCCCGGTTCTTAAGGTGAAGGCAAGGATCTAAAGTACCACTCCTGCCCTATTTCCCACAAGACCCTGCTCACACTCCTCCTACAATTAGAGGCATCTCATCCTGGGCCCCTTAGCTACAGGGACCATATTTTGTGAACCCAAATCAGAACATGTATTCAGATCAGGACACAACATCTGCGCTAGCCCCTCCCTCTCGCCCCTGCAACTCTCAACTGTAGGCTTTTGGGGTCAGGTTGGAGGTCATCGTCTGGCTGTGCGGTCAGGAACCCCAGAGGTGCCTGAACTCGGCCTTGGTCCAGCCCCTCCTCCTCACTCGCTGGTCCTTGAGGGAGATGTGAGGACAAGAGACAATGTGAAGGGGAAAGCAGAGCTGCACCTCTATTCTCCTGGCTTGGGCCTGAATCTCCAGAGCACAGTTCTCCAGCAAAATGGGTTTAATTATGGGGTTTAATCCAAGACAGCCTCTCCCTCCCTCTAAACCCAGACCCCAATCTCAGGAGCTCTCTGGCCTCCAGCGAGGAGCTGAGAGGGCCCGAGTGAGGAGAGATGAGGGAGCAAGAGAGCTGAGCTCGGGCCAGCTCATCGCTTCTCGTGAGTGGAGAGAGGAAGCAGGGGGAGGAGAGGGCTCCGTGCGTTCGTGTGGCCCTTGAACAGAGGGTGACCGCAGCCTGTGCTGGATGTGGTCCCTCAGGGTCGGGGAACTGGAACCAGAGGAGGAGCATAACGCCCTCTTGGGGAGAAATGAGGCAAAGCGAGGTGCGAAGGGCTGTTATTTCTTTTTCCCAGGTAGAGTGATATTCTAAAATTTCCCGGCAAAAGATACATTTTTAACCACAGAAATGTGATGGAATATGAAATAGGATCATTCGTGAAACTAGCTGTGAAAGCAATGAAACCCAAGTCAGGGTTCTATTTGACCTCTAATTCTGTGTATAAATCTCGTCTCAGGGAGTATTTCCTAAAACTGGGAGGAAACGGGCCATCTCATGGAGACCCAGCACCACGCGTCCGTCCTATGGATCTCCCACCCCCACCATTTGATTTCACTCTGCTCCTGCCGTGCCTTACCCCGGTTCACGCCCTTCTCACACCCTCCTCACGCCCTCCCCAAAATGAAGTAAAGTCATCTCCCCAAGATCTATTCTAGACCAGGACTGGGGAGATAGTCAGCCACAATTTTAAACATTAAAACTTAGGATCATGAACTATTAGCCCTTATTCTAATGTGTCCCCAGTGTCTGTCCTTTACCACGTACAGTGTAGATAAGAAAGCAAAGACATTTCTGCCTTGAAGGATCTGTCCGGGGCAGCCACTCTAAACCCTCAGTCAGCTGAAACCTACTCACCGTGACTGTCTGTGTAGAGTGGAAGAGAGCGAAGTGCCTAAAATAATGTGACTCGAATCCAAGTGGAACAACTATGACAATAAGTAGTAATAATTAACATTAATAGCATTAATAAGTAAAGAGTATCACATTCGGTAAAAATCAGATTTGAATAATTTTCTTTCTTTTTTTTTTTTTAATTTTATTATTATTTCCCCCCCCCAAAGCCTCAGTAGATACTTGTACGTATAGTTGCACATCCTTCTAGTTGCTGTATGTGGGACGCGGCCTCAGCATGGCCGGAGAAGCGGTGCGACGGTGTGCGCCCAGGATCCGAACCCGGGCCGCCAGCAGCGGAGCGCGCGCACTTAACCACTAAGCCACGGGCCGGCCCTGAATAATTTTCTGCATACAAGAGATATTCTGAAATACAAGTGATGCAAAAGGCCAAAATAACAGGCTACAAGAACTTGTCACATCTAAATTTTAAATATTGTCACATGACAATATTCCGGGGCGGGCTCAGTAGCGTAGTGGTTAAGTTCACGCGCTCTGCTGCGGAGGCCCGGGGTTCACAGGATTGGATCCCGGTGCGCACCAATGCACTGCTTGTCAGGCCATGCTGTGGCGGCCTCCCATATAAATTAGAGGAAGATGGGCATGGATGTTAGCCCAGAGCCAATCTTCCTCAGCAAAAAGAGAGGAGGATTGGCAGATGTTAAGCTCAGGGCTGGTCTTCCTCAAAAAAAAAGATGACAATATTTAACAACATTAATTTATTTGACTTTTGCTGGTCATACTATGCGATCAGCAGCATTACTGCTTAATGACTTACTATATAAGTTGGAGATTTTATAATGATAAAAAGATGAATAATATTGTTTTATTTTACTGTTTTTTATTGTCAAAATAGCACGTGATTCTTGCAACAAATTTCACTAAGACAGATGAATGAAGGGTACAAGTGTGGGTCTTCCCTCCCCCCAACCTTAACGTCTCCCTCCCCCAGGCTAAGCCTTGGTGTATCTCCTCCCAGAATTTTTCCCTAGTCGTATACCACATATATAATACTTTAAAAATATCAAGATCATGTTCTTCAACTTTTTTTCTTTTACTTAATATATCCCGGATCTCTTTTGAGGTCAGTTCATATGGATTTGCCTGGTTCTTTCTCACGTCCGTAAGCCTTTATTTTATATTAATGTATTTTTTTTGCTGAGGAAGGTTAGCCCTGAGCTAACATCTGTGCCCATCTTCCTCTAGACATGGCCACAGCATGGCTTGATGAGCGGTGTGTAGGTCCGCGCCTGTGGTCGGAAGCCACAGACCCGGGCTGCCGAAGCAGAGCGAGCGAACTTACCCACTACACCACCAGGCTGGCCCCTATATTGGCCTGTTTTAATGTCAACAGTCCCCCTACGTGGATATTTTGAATTGTTTCCATTTCTTTTTACCATTTCAAGGAACTGGTGAACATGCTCACACATGTTTCTCTGTGTACATACCATTGCGTCTGTGTAGGATGAATTTCTGGCGGGGTGGGGGGGCGCAGGAATGCTGAGATTCAGATGTGTGTCCTGTTTATGTTGTGACTTACTCAAATCACCCTTTCAAAAACTCTGTCACTTTACGCTCCAACCCAGCATCTGAGAGTGCACGTTCCCCTCCTTCTTTCTCAGCAACATGGGATGCTTCCATTCTTTTTATTTTTGCCAAAGTGGTCAATGAAATGGTATTCTGCTTTGGTCTAAGTTTACGTTTTTTGGCTACTAATGACGTTAAGCATCTTTTCATATATTTATTGGCCATTGTGTTTCTTTCTTCAAAGAACACGAGAAATACCTGTTTACCAAAAATGAGAACCAAGTGCAGCTGGAAATATCAAGGATTTTGTTGTTGCTTCTTTTTTTTTTTTTTTTTTGTGAGGAAGATCAGCCCTGAGCTAACATCCATGCCAGTCCTCCTCTTTTTGCTGAGGAAGACCAG